GACACGCTGACTGATCGACACGCTGACTGATCGACACGCTGATCGACACGCTGACTGATCGACACTCTGACTGATCGACACTCTGACTGATCGACACGCTGACTGATTGACACACTGATTGACACGCTGACTGATCGACACGCTGACTGATTGACACGCTGACTGATTGACACAGTGATCGACACGCTGATCAACACGCTGACTGATCGACACTCTGACTGATCAACTGACTGATCGACACGCTGACTGACAGACTAATGAGCCCAGTAGAATCTCCAGGTTTATCAATTAGGAGATTGTTTAACAGGCGCTCGAGACTCTTAATCTGCCTGGTCTGCTTCTTTCACAGCGCACCACCTCCTCTCTCTCCTCCCTCCCCTTCTTTGAATATGCAAATTCAATTACCTGTCTGAATGAGCATATCACTGCACACCTGTATTAACCCTCCGCTGTCTTCATCTGTCTCTCTCCCCTCTCCCCTCTCCTCTCTCCTCCCTCCTCTCCTCTCTCTCAGAGTACGCTCGTTCGCGGAGAAAGAGTATAGCCACAGGGAAGCAGCCAAGCATGGAGACCCCTCCCACAGCCCCTCCCCAGCCCTTCAGACAGTCCGTGAGTACCCCTCTTCTCCCCTACTCTTCCCTCCGGCCTGCTGTCGCCCCTCTCTCCTCCCTTCCTGCCAGCACTGCTCTCCTGACCTCTCTCTTCACTTCCTGTTTGCCGGGGGACCGATATTACTGTTGCACAAACGTCTCTGAGCCCCATTGGAGATCTAGAACACCTGAACCCAAGTCAGTCAGGGCACCACAGTGTGTCCTCAGACAGTGTGTCACACACTGAGTGTATTGCGCGGTGTGTCGCGCAGCGAGTGTGTCACGTACTGAGTGTTTCGCTCAGACAGTGTGTCCTCAGACACGACAGTGTGTCGGTCAAGGACTGTGTCGCTCAGACAGTGTGTCATTCAGTGAGTGCGTCCTCATTGTGTCACGCAGTCAGTGTGTCAGTTGTGCGCCATGCAGTGAATTCTGCTCACCGAGGACTTTCTCTATCCGTTTTACAATACTGCCCTCGTGTGGTCAAATGTGGGAGCTGCAGACCCACTTCGCCTCTGCAAAATGTACTTTTCTCTGTTCCTGCTCCTCGTCTCTCCCATTGCTGTGTCTCCTTCTCCTTCTTGCTCCGAGTCTTCACCTCTTCCCTGGCTTATTCGCTCACTCGGCCCTCTGCTCTGCTCCTCTCCCTCCGCCACAGAGCTTCCTCAGTAGGCGCCTGAAAGGCTCGATCAAGAGAGCGAAGAGTCAGCCCAAACTGGACCGAACCAGCAGCTTCCGACACATGATCCTGCCCCGGTTCCGCAGCGCCGACCAGGACAGGTGAGGAGTAACAGCTGAGTAACTGTTGAGTAACATCTGAACAGCGCTGACCAGGACAGGTGAGGAGTAACAGCTGAGTAAC